TGCTCATATGGGATGCCAGATTCCTAGGTGGTGGATTAATCTGCTATACCACAGCAGTGGCTTCAGTAATCATTTTCATGATGAAAATTTCATTTCTAAAAGTTTTATTTGATCCTAAAGATGGACTTAGTAAAGTTTTAATAGTTTCTTGCTTCCTCTATGTATTTTCATTTATCTTTTATTTATTTAAATATGATGAACATAATGTTTTCAGAGCTTGTGTCCTAATATTTTTAGTGTCTGAAATTTCAGTGTTTCTGTTTGTTATGTTTGCTTATTTTTCCTTAGGGGGTTTTACTTTTGTTGTTTATGTGATTATTTTTGCCTGTGAGCCACTCAATTTTTTAATCAGTTTATTTCTAGAAATTCTTTGAGGCCTGTGATCCAGATGATTCCTCCAGACAGAATTGTGTTTGCTTTAGTGAAACAGGTAGTGACATTGCATTTTTTTTTTTATTTGAAAGGTAGAGTTATAGACAGTGAGAGAGAGAGACAGAGAGAAAGGTCTTCTTTCCATTGGTTCACTCCCCAAATGGCCACAACAGCTAGAGCTATGCCGATCCGAAGCCAGGAACCAGGTGCTTCTTTCTGGTCTCCCATGCAGGTGCAGGAGCCCAAACACTTGGGCCATTCTCCACTGCCCTCCCAGGCCACAGCAGAGAGCTGGACTGGAAGAGGAGCAACCGGGACTAGAACCCGGTGCCCATATGGGATGCCGGTGCAGCAGGCGGAGGATTAACCAAGTAAGCCATGGCGCCGGCCCAACATTGCATTTTTGTGGTCATTCTGCATTGCAGTTACAAAGTTGGTTATTTTAGTCTGCTGAAAAGGGCTGATTTTTACTTTTAAACATGATTTTTCTCGCTTTGTTGGTGTCTGTGTAATGGGGAGCTGATATGCTTCCATCTGCTGGGAGAGGCATGTTTCTGCTTACCCTAGAGCTCCACTCAGTAGTCCAAGTTTTTTAAGCAGAGAAACTCTTCTCTTTTTATATCTCCCCCTTGATTGAGCCTTGGAGATTGCCTCTGTATTTCAGTGATATTTTGCATGGTATACTATTTAGCAGTGGGTCTAAAATCATTAAGAAGCAGTATGAAGATAAAGCATAAATCAGGAAGTCTTGTGTTGACAGACATCAAGAGTACACTTGGATTGATGTGGGGAGCAGACTCAGAGATGACTGGTGAATGCCATTCCCCACAGTCAGAGGTTGAAGAGGAAAGACAGTACAGCTATGATTCACAGTAACAGAATCAGCAGTGTTTTTCAGAACAGTGTGTTTGCAAGCTTATATCCCTCAAAATCATCATCGAAGGTCAAGCAATTTCAGGTGATAACATGAGTTACTAAAGTTCACATGAGAGTTTTTGGAAGCTCAGTTCAACTTTAAGTACATAAGGCTAGTTTGGCTGTGTGCTAGAAATCCCAATCCTGGCCAGGTGTACCTCATGGGTCTTAGTGTCACACAACATGCATTAGGACCACAAGGCCCATTTTAGTACAGAACACTCAGGCTAGGAATACTCTAGGCTGAGTAGGAAAATACTAGGAATACTCAGGCTCTCAGGATCATTTCTCGCACTCCAGGCTAGCCAAATATGGGCCAAGGCCATCTGAACTTGGCGCTGTGGCATGGGAACAACAATCAGTTGCCCAGACTTCTGTGGCTACAAAGTCCATCTATAAATAATATAATTAACTGAGGTTTTAATTATTTATGGAGGAGAAACAGGAGTTCTTCAGAACCATAGACACCAGGCAGGGTCTCAAAGGAAAGATATATCTCACTCAAATTAAGCTAACTTAAGGAGAGTTAACATTTAAAAGGGACTAATTACAAAGGTGTGTGGGGATTGATGGAGGTGAAGCAGAAGAGACAGTACAGAAAACTGGAGCTTAAAGAAGCAAGCTTTGACCAACCCCAAAGCAGAAAGGACAATGAAAAGAATTCATTACCAGAACCCTGCAGGACAGCATCTCACAGTGTTCACCTAGAATGGAAAAGTAGACCTTTGACCAAAGGAAATACGCTGCCAAAGTATATTCAGTGTCTTCCCAATCTTCCTGAAGGCCAAACCCACCGGAATCCAGAGCACATGGGAGCCCACTGATGGAACCCAGGCAGATCATCTTCCCTGGACAGTGAGGTGGAAAGGGTGTAGAGTGTACTTGCAGGGGGAACCAAGTGGAGGATGACTGGTGTTATCAGAAGAGCTGATACAGAATCCATGATTAGTCAATAACAGCATCAATTTGTAAGTTAACTGAAGCTGCCAATGCTTTTCATGTATACTCATCCAAAAAATGTCTACACTCTTATTTCAACAAGAGCTTATTCAACGTGCCAATCATATTGATTCTTTTTTGACACTTTGTAGGTCAGTCTCCCCAATCTCACCTACTTTATTCTCTTTGGATGTTATTCTGATCCTAGGTCTTCCAAAACTTTTCCAAAATATTCTCATTTTCCAGGATCCCTGCCACTGCTCTATTTTTTTCCTCCTCAGAAATTTTGAACTGCCTTGGATAAAACCCATGTGGACAGAGTATTTATTGATGTTGGTTCATGCTAACTCATTTATCATTTCTGACTTACAGACTCTGTACTCAGTGCGGTGAGTGTGTAGCTTGCTCTGAAGACTGTTCTGGCTTTATCCTTTTCAGGAACTGTGTAGGTTATGGTTGCCTGGTGACTTCTATTGATGTATTTATTTAGTACACGCAAGTGTATATATGAATAATATATAACTTTGATGTTATATATAACTTTGGCAAATTCATTCTGTGGTGGAATTCTCAAGACTTAGAACATTTGACTGTTGGACTATCTTGAGTTTCTGATTAAAAAACAGCTTGTCACTGAGATGATGCCAAGTCATGGAGAGGATTATGTTAGGAGGAGGCACTTGCAGGAAGCTGGTAAATAGTTTATGGTAAGTATTTTCAATATGGTACTTAATTGAGTATCATAAGCATTACAAGCCATATCATCTTTTGTGAAAGAAACACATTTTGGTTTTTAGAAAAATATTATTGGCTGGTATTTTTAAGGTCTTTATAATCAAAGTAAAGTAAATATTTGAGGTGGAAGTCTCACTGCCCAGTGGAAGCCAAGGGGTCCAGGTAATGTTTCAGAGGAGGGTCTGAGTGTCCATGTGTTACAGCGTACTGGACAAACTGGACAATGACCTGCACCCTGGAGGAAGGCAGTGTCCTTCTCCTCCTTTTCCCGGTGACTCTCCCAAGTCATCTCAGCACTGTTGCCTGGGAAATATTTTAAAACATCCACCCGAGGGGCAGACGTGTAGTCTACTTGTTAAGTTACCCGCATCCCACATTGCAGTACTTGGGTTTAACTCCCAGCTCCAGATCTTGACTCCAGCTTCCTCCAAATGCACATCCTGGGAGACAATGGTGATGACTTAGGTAACATTTTCTGCTGTGCACATGGAGCACATGGGTTGAGTTCTTGGCTGCTGATATCAGTCCCTGACAGCCTTAACCTTTGCAGTATACGTGAAGTGAACCATGGCATGGGAGCTCTCTGTGTATTTCTCTCTCTCTCCTTCTGTGTTTCTCAAATAAATAAAAAAGAGTTAAAAACAAAAGTAATTGCAGCTACACTTTTTTTCTAAAAACCATCATTACTTGTAAGAGTACTTAACTAAAATCCAGCATCCTCAACAAGACCTGAATGACAAGACCTCCCCCCACCCCCAAAACAGATGCTTCACTAGCTCCTCCTGTACTTACATTACCACTGCCCAGATCATTTGTATCCATATTGACTCCTAAAAGGCTCTTATCCTTTCAGAGTTCTGACTAAAGTTTATTTCTTCAAGGAAAGTATCCCTTCTTCTTCCAGCTCAGTAAGGTTCCCTGGTGTTCTTTCTAACAGCATCCTTCATTTTTACTGCTGATTCCTCCCTGTACTTTGTATTCATTTGTTTTGCTTGTTGTTTTCCTAACATTTGCCTCTCCCATCAGACTGTATGTTCCAGGGGGTTGATTTTGTTCACTGTGATATCTTTATCTCTGTGGCACAAGAACCAAACTAGGAGTGCTGTGATCTAAATGTTTGTATCTCTGCAATTTGTATGTTGAAACCCACTTCCCAGTGTGAGGGTATTTTGAAGTAGGGCCTTGGAGGAAGTGATTAGGTCGTGAAGATCCCTTATGAATGGAATTAGGACCCTAATGAATGAAGCCCCAGAGAGTCTCCTTGCCTCTGAGGAGAAGCCATCTGTGAATGAAGAAGCAGGCCTTCCCTGGATGTGGGCTGAAGCTTTGATCTTGGACTTGCAGCATCCAGGACTGTAAGAAATAAGTTGATAGCATTGTGCTATAGCAACTTAAAAAGACGGAGAGAAGGAGACACTCAGTAACGGGTGAAAATGAATGCATGAATGATACAGTTCCTGTCCCCCTGGTGTTTGATGTTGGAGATGGCTGTGCACAGAGGAAATACCACTGCGATGTAGGGAAGAGAGCTGAGAGTGGACATACACGTGCATCCAGGCAAATCAGGAGGGCCCTATGTGAAGGTCTAGGCACTGGTTCCTCAGAAAAATAATTAAATCCTCCTTTTAAGTGACTACATCGAGTACTTGCTGATATAACTGGTAAATGATGAAGAAAGTCTTGGGAATTATGAGATAACTCAATGTGTGGTTTAATGGGAAGCTCTAGGAATTTAGAATTAATGTCCATTCTCTTTTTAAAAACCATTTATTTAATTGGAGAGAGAATGAGCGAGCATCTGAGTGAGAGATCTCCCTCAACTAGTTCATAAGCCAGGCCAAAGCTAGGATCCTGGCACACAACCCAGGTCTCCCATGTGGGCAGCAGGGACCCGACTGTTTGAGCCATCACCGCTGTCTCCCAGGGTGCCCTTCTGCAGGAAGCTGAAATCAGGAGTGGAGCCTGGACTTGGACCCAGGCTCTCCAGTATGGGATATGACATTTGAAGTTGTATGTTACCTGCTGTGCCAAATGCCTACCTGAATGCCAAGTTCTGATCCTGGTTAGCCATATGACTTTAGGGAAGTCAGCTCAGCGTGGAGGCACTGTAAAACAAAAATGGTCGGACTAAGTTATGTGTTCATGCCCCTTTCAGCATTACGCTTGTGTGACAGAGGAAAAGACATAAGATCAAGGGACATGGAAGGGAAACCAAGGGAAACTTTTGAAGTTTTGGTGAAAATTCTTTCTACCTTACTTTAGTGTTCACATTCTCCTATCTTCTCTTTCTCTCTCTGTCATATGTGGAGAGAAGAGAAGTCCTGTATATGGTTGAGCTATCCTTATTGTTTTCTGTGCAATGGTGACTTGAAGGATTTCTCTTCATGTTAACTAGAATAAAGTTACTGGAAGCTATGGCTCAACCCATCCCATATAAACTTTTACGGAATATTTGTCATACATAAGCCCAGATGGAATAAATCTAGTAACACAATACTTACACAAGTCAGAAGACTCTGAAAAACACATTTATAAACAATCTGTGCAAGCTGAGTACATCAGTGAGTTGATGTCTACAATCGATGCATACATTTTGATCCAGGAAAGTGTTATATACTTAGGTTCTAAATTATGAAGAGTACCCATTAACTGCAAGCCCAGGATATACATTAGTGGACTCACACAAAAGTGAGTGTTAAATTAATACCCGAAACTAATGAGACATCTTACATTATTATATTTATTACTGTTTTAAAAATGAAAATAAGGAAGTTCTATTATTTCCCATCTGGAAACATGATTTGATATAGACTGTTCTTCACCTGTGCATAAAAGGTGTATTGGCATTCCCCTATTTGAAGATACTTTTGTTCTTCAAACATATCATAAACAGTTACTTCTTAATGGCTTACCTACAGAGCAAACTTTCATTTGGGCCAAGTTCTGTCTGGAAGAGAAGGGTTGAACTTTTATCTCTAAGTAGGTAACAAGATTTGGGTGATCATATTTAATTATTAACACTCATTCTGTTAATGACCCACATTATGAATCATTAAAGAAGAGGAAGTGATGATAGAAAAGTGGACTGGGACATTTAGCCTTTAAGTGTATAACCAGGGTTTCACCCAACTTTGAGACAAATAGAGTCAGAAAGATGTCAGCTCCTAAATTTGTTAATGTGGCACTGTCACTTGCAGGACACAGAACTTCAGCCCTCCCGCCCTTCAAAATCACTTCTGTCTAGATATTTTTAGCAGTGTTTTAGGGTTCCTCACATGCAGATGTGAACAACCTTCTCCGTATCTTGTTGACTTGGCATCTCAGGATGAATCCCAGAACTAGATCCCAGTGTCTGAGGCACTTGTACATGTAGAAGGATGGTTCCGCATAGTGGGTTGTGAGGAATGAGCTGAGAGCTGAAGGAGGCTTTGAAAGGGTAGAATGGGGTGGGTTCAGGCAGCAGAAAATGAAGGCTCCCCAGACCAACTCCACTGGAATGGAAGCTCCCTAGTGGGACAGGGGATCTGTGTTTATTTGGTTTACTGCTGTACCTCCATCTGAGAAGAATGTGGCACATGGTAGGCCCTCAATAAATATTTGTTGAACAAACAAATAATAACGTTAAGTTTGGTTAAAATGAAAGAAAATTCTCAGCACACAACTCTGCCCAAGCTTGTGGGTCATCCTAATTTGTGGTTGAAGTTGAAAGAGATCAACAAAGATGTACATTACTCAGTGCACTTGGTTAGAGGAAACTTGAGGCTCTTAGAACTACTCCTTTCACTTGTTTACACAGAGGGGATTTGCACCACCCTTTGCCTGTGAAATTTCTTGTTAACATTGAGAAGTTGTTATCAGAACTGCCCCTCCCCCCAAAAAACTCCTGTATTAAAGATAATATGTTTCTTTCAGGAGGTGAGGGTGGGGCTTGCTCAAACTTCAAGTTGATTAGTTGATAATAGCAATTAGTGGAGTGCTTTGTGAAAGGAATACAGAATTTACTTGAATGTTTTTTGGGAACAATCAGCGTTAACTCTGAAACTCTAAAAGATGATTCCTGAATTCTAACTAGAAAACACCCTATGGTCTTTGAAAGCTCCCTCATTTGAGTGAGGGAAGCTGACGTAATATGTGGAAAAATGCAATTGTATTCAACATGTATTTTCATGTATTGTCTTTTTTTTTTTTTTTTTTTTTTTTGACAGGCAGAGTGGACAGTGAGAGAGAGAGACAGAGAGAAAGGTCTTCCTTTGCTGTTGGTTCACTCTCCAGTGGCCGCCGCGGCCAGCGCGCTGTGGCCGGCGCACCGCGCTGATCCGATGGCAGGAGCCAGGAGCCAGGTGCTTTTCCTGGTCTCCCATGGGGTTCAGGGCCCAAGCACCTGGGCCATCCTCCACTGCACTCCCGGGCCACAGCAGAGAGCTGGCCTGGAAGAGGGGCAACCGGGACAGAATCCGGCGCCCCTACCGGGACTAGAACCTGGTGTGCCAGCGCCGCTAGGCGGAGGATTAGCCTAGTGAGCCGTGGCGCCGGCCTCATGTATTGTCTTAAATTATTTGAGGTAAAGGGCTAGTTCTTTTAAAATTTCTAATTTGTCACAGAAGAATATTTAAAGGGAAATACATTTTTAGAAAAGTCATCATGGGTTTTTATAAAATAGTAATGTCAAGTTGCCATTATATTTATTTTCTAAACTTCCTTCTCAATTCTGTACTTAACTCATCATGAGCTGGCAACACACCAGTTGTCAGCTGGTGCAGGCTTTTGGGTATCCTTCAAACAGCTTTGTTCTTCAGGGAAGGTCATTCTAGGTGCTACTACCTTTCAAAGGAGAGAGGATAAGTCACCCCTTCCCAGGTATTAAATGGGAACCACACATTAAAGGAAGCAAAATGAAATGCAGAGTGTCATTAGTATCCAAAGAAATACACAATCAGCAGCACTGATGGTAAAGGAGGGATCCATGATGGACGAGTGCTTTGAAGATGACCTTGAGGTGTCAGTGGGATGTTAGGTAAGAGAGTTTGGACAGTCAGGTGTGAAGAGACAAAAATTATTCTAGTTAGAGAGACCAAGATGATGAAAAATACAGAGACCAAACACTAGGGGGCTGGTTTAAGGGAATGAGTTGTGTTGATTTAGATGGGAGTATTGAGTAAAGTCTTGGGTAGGCAGAGGTCTCCTGTCCCCCATGTAAGATTCCATTCCCTAATCCCAGGAATCTGTGGCTATGATCTCATGTTACCCCATACAGGGAAAGAGGAATTGCTGATGTAATTAAATATGGGTGGCCTTAACCTTGACAGATGACCCTGGATTATCAAGGTGTGTCCAATATAAGAACAGCAGCCCTTAAAAGCAGAGCTCCTTCTCAGGCTGATGATAGATGGGGAAGGCAGAGGTCAGAAAGATTCTGAGCACCAGAGGAATTCAGGGCACCCTTGCGGTTCTGGTGGAGGACAGCCACCAGCCAGGGAGTGTGGGCAGCCTCTAGAAATCAAGAACAGTCCCTGGTCAGCTCAGCAAGGAAACCGTCCCTGCTGCTGCAATTGCATGGGACTGAATTCTGCCAATACCCTGATTGCACCTGGAAGCGAAGTGTCTCCCAGGATCTCCAGTTAAGAGCCTGGTCAGGTGCTATCTTGATTTTGATCTTGTGAGAGTAGAGCAAGATCCCCCAACTGAGCCTCCATGGGTTTCTGACCTACAGAGCTGTGATGTGATGGATAGGTATTGTTTGAATCTGGTAATTTGTTATGCATCAGTAGAAACTCATACAGGGGCATCCTGTGGATAACTTTAAATACCAGGTAGTTCTGTGCACATCTTAATTACTGAGCACTTAGCAAAAGCATCCTCATGGACCTGCAGCTTTAGGTCCGTTACTCTGGCTGGGAGATGAATGATCTCAATGAACCGGCGGAGTTTACTTCCCCTTCTCTCTTCCTTAGTAGTAGTGGCCATGACTGCAAATAGTCATGGAGCTGGGGAAGATATCTCTGAAGTTATCTCATAAGCTGAGTCTGTTTTTCTCTTGGAAGGTGGAGCTAATGAAGTATAAGCCTGAGCCTCACATTTATCTTGTAAAAGGAATGTGTAAGTGCAATGAAAGAATATTGAAAATCAGGAATTTGAGGGCATTGCATGACTTTCTATGCTTGAGGGGATACTGTCTTCCCTGTTAGAAAAATGTGCATCCCAGCTCCCAGGCAGACTTTGGAAGGAGAATTGGGCTCAGCTGACTTTCAAACTTGCATTTCTCCCTCCTGGAGTACTCTGGTTGTAGCTGCTACCACCAAGCTGGATTCCCAGAGGTGTACCTCTCTACCTCTCTGCTCATACAGGGACAAAACCTTTTTCTCTTGTTTTCCTCAGTGTAGTTTAGATAGACCGGAGCCCCAAAACAAGCAGAGCAAAAGGAAAAATTCACAGAAGATATAAGCAATATAGAAAGTGTGGTGTGCAAAGCACATGATTCTATCAGTCCAGAATGCTCCACTGTGTGCCTTTGCTGGAGACCAGTGCAGCCACCACTGCGTCTCAGGAAATGCTCACGTGCTGGCCCGGCTCGCTGTGGTTGCCAGGCAGACACTATCACATGAACATCCTAATGTCAATACCGTCTTGTGAACATACCAGTCTTAACAAAAGGGGACTTCATTGTTTTCTGATTACAATAGCAGTGTTCATTTTTGTATAAAACTTGCAGGTGATTAAATTATAAGGAAGGGAATTAAGGGTCCATAATCATATCATCTGTTTACACATAGACATATGAGGATACTTCAAAAAGTTCATGGGAAAATGGAATTCAAGCCTAAGTTGATTTGGGTTCCAAAAAGTTTTTGAATCCATACATAGCTTTCTTTTCACCAACTTTTCGAAGTACCCTCATTTTTATTTTTTATTTAAAAGATTATTTATTTTTTGGTGAGGAAAAGAAAGACAGAGAGTGGGAGAGAGAATGCTCCCACCTATTGGTTCACTACCCAAATGCCTGCCGTGGCTGAGGCTAGCCCAAGTGGAAGCTAGGAGCCAAGAACTCAATCAGGGTCTCCCATGTAGCTGGCCGGAAACCAATCCCTGGAGCCATCCTTTATTGATT